AGTACAAAGCAGTGAAAATCATTGATAGACAATCGTTCGATGGGCTGAATTGCACAAAACGCATGAGCGCACCGGCTAGTCTGGTGCTCGTTGCTGTTTATTTTCTTTTTTTGTCCTTTTTTTCTGCTGGTCTTATTTTTTTGCTTTCCTTTTTTATCTCGCAGATTTCTCATAAACTGCACCATTTTTTTCTGATTTTTTTCTCATTTCATTCATTTCTGCTGAAAAAACGTGCTTTTGATGAACTTTCTAAAGCCTACAGGATTTTTGTGGATCAAAACAGTATGAAGTTCTTTGGCGGTACTGCGACATTTCTCGTATAAGTCATAATTGCTCATCCTACAATAAATTTCAGGTTCTTTTCCAACAGTTCAAGTTCTTCCTGAATCTGTACTTCTTGCTGATGGCATGCAGTCAGTTCATTCCAGCGATTCAAATTGGAGCACCGATCACATATTGGGGGCCATTGGTAAGGCTTCGTTTGCGACTGAACTTCTTTAAGTAGCCCGCTGGTTATTTTTATGCGTTTTGTGCTGTAACACTTGCACAAAATGCGTGCTGTCGAGATCCTGTCTGTTTGTTTGTGTGCATATGTGTTTATGTTTCGAGTGCGTTTTATCCGGAAGTTTTAACTCGGCAGTTAGAGAAGCTAGCGAGCTGGATTTTAAGAGGAGACCCTCTGCTGGTATGTGCTTGCAAACTCAAATTCAGCGTTCGCGTGCGCCTAGGTCTCACATACGGTCACATGAAATTTTTGGGGCCTAAGTTAATAACTGGGGAAAATCAGCGTTTTCATAGCCTTAGTTCCACGTAGACACGTGAAAGCCTTGGTGCCAAAATTAATGATCTGGGAGCCAACAAATTTAGGAAACTGAAATTTCAGAATTTTGCTCCTTACCGGCGTATAAATTAGTCCCCGCGGGCTTAGGCCCCACACACAGAAACACGAAATTTTGGTGTCAAAATTAATAACTCGAGAACCACAAAAATTTCTGTACATATTAAACATTAGTGCATGGACACTTTTAATAGAAAGGTTTCCCAGGACAGAGCTACATAAACGTTACCTGGACAGGGTTGTACAAACGTCGGCCGAACAGAATTGCACAAACGTTCGCTGGCAGGATTGCATAAAACGAATGATCGCATGTGCCACCTTAGTGTGCGCCGTCATTTATTTTTTGTTGAAATCTGAAGTAGTAATCAGAATTTATAGGGGTTTGTTCTAACAGTAACATTGATTCGGGAAGCAATGGACGATTTTGTGCGGTTTTTGAGAGATCGCGAATTGAACAGTGAAAAATATGAGAAGCTGACGCCGCAGGGTATCGACTACATATCAAGCTCGTAAGCTGCAATTTTACATTCGACATTTTCAAAATTCGTCCGCTTCTTACTTCTCTAAGACGATCGTTTTCCCGCATCTCGATGAGAAACTATCATTTTTTAATGAAATAAGGTCGTTTTCTCATGTATGACAATTGCTGCCTTGCAGGAAGATCAAAGTAGGCGATCTGATAATTATACAAAAAGATAAGCGCGTACCGGCAGACGTGGTGCTCTTACGAACAACTGAAAAATCCGGCGCCTCTTTTATCAGAACGGACCAGCTGGACGGTGAAACTGATTGGAAACTACGGATTGCTGTCCCCGTTACGCAGAATCTTTCTTTGGATCAGGTTTCTGTTCCGTTGTTGTTATGCGTTTTTGCCGTGCAGCGCTAGAGCGCTGCAACAGGCAGCAAAAACGCATATTGGAA